CTTAAATCCATATCTAATGTCAGTCCTGTAACATGGCAGCTCTCACATTTAATTCTGATTTTAAACGAGGTGTTCAAAACCCTATTTTCATACCTTCCTTAAAGGAGTATAGACCTCCTTAGAAATGTGGCTGAAGGGCAAAAAACTGTCTCTTATTTCTGAAGTCAGATGGGACTTACACCCTTAAAGCTTTTGAAAAATTTACTATGTCGCTGTTTGGGCTGAATAAAAATTACCTGTGAGTAAGGCTTTTCTTTTCAACACTCTTTTTAGGCTTGGAAAAAGCTTACTCAGGAAAATAATTAAAAGGATTAGGCTGCTTTTCAACTTCACAACTTTCCCAATTTTTCCAGATTCTCTGAAGAGGCCACTGGGTGCTGGTGGGTGTGACTTTCAGGGCTGTGAGCCTTGCAGGGCCACACCAAGTGCCATTAAAGTGAGTGGTGGAGTTTCCATTGATTACAACAGGATTTGGAGAGTCCCATACAGAATCTGCTCTAAATCTAGGAGAGCTGACGTTCCCGCCCACCTGTCTGCAAGGAGTGAGCACAGGACATGCAAGGAGGAAGTAAATTACATCCCTCTTTTTTGCAAGGAAAGTTTTCCTGATTTCATTTATTTCAATGCCAGTATCTATATTTCAGCATTAATAACAGACCAACATGCAAAAGGAGCTCAGGAAGCTGCCAGGTTTCCACCAGGGAGACTCGAGTTTGGCTGCCCAAGGCAGAAGAGAGCTTTGGAAAGTGCTTTGTTTAAAGTAGAAGCATTCAAAACTGTTTTGCACATTCATCATACTCAAAGAGAAGTGCTTGGCTGCCCCCCATGGAGGGAGGGGAATGTGCAGCAATGGGACCCTCAGCAGCTGCCAGCAAAAAATAATACAGAAGAACTATGAATAAATAAAATACATTTTGCTAGGCCTAATATTACACAGCTTTCTTCATACTCTCCCTCGAAATCTGTAATTCCCTTCCAACCATTTCTGGTTTTAGTTTTTATCCTGGGTTGTTCTCTTCCTGTCTCTCTTCCTTTAAAGACTGAACTGTGGTTTTCTCCTTACCTGAAAGTTTCCCCTCTCCATTTCTTAATTTCTGCTAATTTCTCTCTCTTAATCTTCTTTTAAAACCATTCTGATGCAACTCCACAATACTTTGCAGACCTCCAAGCCTCTTTTATCTTACTCTTTTCTCTGCAATGCTTCCTTTCATCATCTTCCCAATTTAACAAAGATTTGCCTATGTGTGGCAGAACTCAATACCATTTTAAAGTCAGAAGTGTTTTGCTTTTTCTGAATATGTTTTTATACCAGTGGTGCTAGTGAGAGCTGAGAAAACACAGATTATCTACTGCACTCTATCAGAAGTGGAAAAATCAAGTGATCTGCAGGCTCTGAACTCAGGATCAGCATCTTCCAGGCAATGCCTGAATGGAATCATGAGAGAGACCAAATTCAACAAACCCTTTTCTTGCTTGGGATGTCACCTTTCCTACTCCTCATAGCTGCCTTAAGCAAATTTGCCTGCTCTCCACTCACTGGCCCAGATAGTTTCAATCTTGTTCATTATGGCTTTATCAAAGTTAGATCAGGAAGCATAGTTCTCAATGCTAGGATTTTATTTTATTCTTTCCACCTCGTGGCCATTAATTCATTTTCTGCTGCTATGAAGTGTATTCTCTGGCCTGAACTCCTTAACCATCCTCCTCATCCTTGCTGTCTTATAAATAACAGCATCCTGCTCCATCCAGATCCAGATCCAGCCCCAGCCAGCTTGTTCTATCCTTTAATTTATGAGGAAAACTTCTCTGTTGTGCAATGGCTCCAGGAGACTGCCAGGTGGCTTTTGGCAGAAGTGCTCGACTGGACAAGGAGGACAAGCTACAAATCTGAGGTGAGGAGGAGCCCACCTCTGGTGCCTTAGTCCTGCTTCTCTCAGTGCAGCCAATCCTTGCCTCACTCTGAATTCCTTCTGAGCTCTGGAAAAAGCTGCAGTTGCAGGTTGCTGCTTGCCAGAGCCTAATGCCAAAGTCCTACCTGTCCAGACATCCCATATAACAAGAAAGTGCTGATGGCAGCATGACAAACCTCTCTTTGGAGCTAATGCTATGTAGTCATGTCTGCAGCTGAAGCCCCAGCACAGCCTCACCAGCGGGTTGGTTCTTGTGAATGCTATTTTAAGGCAGAAGGGGTGCAATGGTGTTGCCACAGCATGAAAAATGAAATTTAAAATAGTTCATATTTACAGAGCAAGGTTATTCTGACTGTGAGGTGTGATCTTTTTCTGCTGAGTACATGCAGTGCACCATTTCATTTAATTCTGACACCTGTAAGCTTAGGCAACAAAAGTGTGCTATGACATAGGGCTCTGCATATGGACTCATCGGTGTTTCCTGCAGAAGCCTCACATGCTGCTAATCGCTTCTGGGATGTAGGGGTTTGGGGGTTTTTGTGGAGTAATATCAGAGGGAGAGTCTCAGTGTAAGAGCCATGGCTGCTACTTGTCCACCGATGTTTCTTCATGCTTATCAAGATCGATAAACAGCGACAGTCACCCCCCAGTGATGCACCCTCGCCTGCAGCAATTCCTCTGGGTCTGGAAGTTGTCAAATCTCTGTTTATCTGCTGATGGCTGAACTACCCTTGCCCCGAATGTGCCTCTTTTAGGAAACATCCAGCAGAGTACTCACACTGGCCAGAGACTTAATTGCGCTAAACCTTAATCTTTTAATGTTGCAATACTGTAGCAGCTGCAGATTGTTTTAGTAAAAAAAAAACAAACCACCAACCTAAATAAAAGCCCACTACAACAACCCCTAACCTGTTTCATCACCATTGTCTTCTCCAGATAATGTCCCAGCAGTCTCGGCCAGGCTTCCCTGTGACTACAAAGAGGTGTTTGACTCACTAACCAGTTCTCAACGTCTCTCCTGGCTTCTTCCCTCCGGGCACCATATGATAGCCTGGGATGTGGCTGGGATGTTCCCTCCAGAAGCTGATAGTAATCATGGTCTTTGCCTCTTCATCCTCTCCCTCCTCTGTGAGTCATCAGGAATCACTCCCAGTCCTTTGTCTCTTTACTTGAGTGTCATTTGGCTGTATTCATGTCCCTTGTCTTTCTGCTCTCAGCCCTTGATGGCCTAGGTCTTTGTTTGTCCCCTGTTCTAACTTATCCTTTGTTTGAGGAGCTGTGTGCAGGGGAAGGCGGAAGGGAGGGGGGCCTGTGATGGTGACAACCCGCTGAACTGAAGATTTTCTCTGTCCTTAGAAGGACAATGCAGCAAAACCAAATTCCTGTTCACCCCATTGCCATACTTTGCTTTGTCCCATTTCTCATCCTCCCTCCGTCTGGGAGCTCCCAGCCCACAGCAGCTAGTCGTAGCCTGGAATGGGTGGTTTTCTCCAAAACTGAAGCGAAGCCCACCTACATTGGAGGACGAACATCATAACAGAAATGCCACCAAAGTAGAAAAATTTGGATGAAAGGGAAAACAAAAAATTCCAGCATTGTATTCCACACATGAAAGTGCAGAGTAAGCAGTTGCTGCCCTATAAAGCTTGTTTAAACGCCCGCGGTTTTGAGGGAGTTTGGTACCAGCTTTGGCTTCCACAGTAGAATTGCAGGCCAATGCACATTCATCATTCTAATTTTATACAGCTGCATTATTTTCACAGTTTATGGTGCCACCATCTCATTTATGAAGTACACACTGCAGTTACACATATGGCTGTATTATTTTCAGCACTGAAAGTTCAATTAGTAGTTTCACTGAGCTAAGACTGTCAAAACAGCAGCAGGAGTACACACCGTATTGTAGCTGCCCAAAATTTATATGTGTTTATGCAATAAATACATTGCAGTTTGTGTGCTATAATTTGGGTCACTGGTTCTAAAATAACACCAGAAACACCAGGTGAAATTTGCTGTCACTGACTCAGTTTCAATGACTGTAGCTCCAGCTCTTCATTTACACCTGGGATAATTATGGCATGATCATGGGTCACAGAAACATGGCTTCTTCCCTGCCCAGGGATGTCATAAGACAAAACATTGATGTGAGCGACTGGGTCTCTTATTCACAGACCAAGCCTTTAAATACAAATTCCTATTCACCCCATTGTCCAAGCAGTAGGGTGCCAGAAGCTGGCCTTTGGAGACATCTCTGTCCATAGTACTTTATTTGAGTCTTTTGCCAGCACCATAAACAATCTTCCCCATTAAGAAACAGTTTCCTAGGGAAAGATGGGCAGGATGGGGAGAAGGATTTCCAATTTCCAGGGTGACTGTGCTTGCTGAAAAATGTGCCAGTTTGCATGTCGCTGATGTATTCCTGGTGCATTAGTCATTAGGGAAGGTAAAAGCACAGTGATAACAAAAGTGCTATCAGGTGCCACAAACAGATTGCAAACTCTGCTTTAGTCAACATCAGTGCTGACTTTCCACAGCATGTGCACACTAGCAAATTTAGCAAAGAGGTGGCTGTTGTTCAAAGTTATGAGAAAGAGCTTGGTTCCTCCCAAGCACTCGTAGTGCTTCTGAAATACTGACCTTTAATGCAGGTGCTGAGCAGTAGGAAACTGAAAATCAACTTTTCAATGCTCCAGTTTCACAATATGCAAACCAGAGAGAATAAAAACTACCTTCAGGTGCTTTCAAAAACTTGTTTATAGTCTTCCAAGCTTTCTTCAACTCCTGCATGGAAGGCACCACTGGGACATGAAGTGCAGTGAAGTTTCCTTCAGCTCCTATGGCTGGTTCTGGTACAGTGAGAAGAGGAAGTGGCCTCAAGGCACAAATCCAAATTAACAGATGTTTCTAGCAGTCCTTCCTCCTCCTTGCTCCACAAAATAGTGGATCTATCCTTATCACCATCCCTTACACATGGCCAAATATAAATATAAGTAGGAAAATACTTACAGCAGGAAATGAAGAGTTGTTGTGGGACTCAGCAGCTTCTCAGCACGTTTTCTTTCACATCCTGACAGAGCCTGGCATAAATTCAGCTTCTGACACACAGGGGAAAGTATACCTTTTTTGCTCTACTTTTTTGGCAGTTGTCATTAATTTGGCTCGCTTTCCCCTGCAGTAATGTTGACAAACACATTGCTCATGGTAGCATTTCAGCCAACCCATTCAGGCAATTTATGTTTCAATATTTACAGACAGCACTGCCTCATGCCAATTTGATCTTTTTGCAATGAATATGTTTTGACTTGAGACAGAGTGGGACTTGCCTGTCACAGCCACTGTGGCTGAAAGTTTATACCCCCAGTTTCACAGCAAAAAGAAATGTATTAACACCCATATTATGTGGTTTTCTAGGTTTAAATTGGTGTGTTTCCTTCCCGTTCTGCTTATTGACTCATTTCCTTAAATCTGACTTGAGCTTGCTATTGAGTTTTAGCCTCAGTACACCAGTAGTAGCCATAACATCCCCCCAACTCAGAAGGAAGAGAGGTAACAGCAAAAGGTAAAAGATTTCATTACTTTCACAAGATAATACAAATTATTATTTTCTGATGAGAGACAAGGAGAAACAACAGTGGACAGGAGAACCATGGAGCAGCTGAAGTATTTCTTTCAGAGGGAACCTTACCTGTCACTCCAGTGTCCAAGCATGTCTCATAAATCCCACAGAAATGCTGACCTGGATTCACAGAGTTGTCATCAATTCTCTCTTGTAGCTGAACGTGTTTGAATGTCCCTTACAAGAGAAGAACAGAAGCCAAGAGTGTTTTTTTCAGGAGCTGAGGAAATTAAAGAACAACTGCTTTTCTCCTCTACCTTAAGAAACATTTAAGGTTTCTGGTATTCATTCTATCTGGATTCCACTGGACATTTTCCTTAATATAAGTTACTCTAGTTTTTTGTTTTGTTTTGATTTAGTTTTTTAAGTGGATTAAACATTTATTACTTGATACACCAGAGCACAGATTTCAACAGCAAATGTGATCTTGCTTTTCCATGCTCAGGCAGATATTTGCTCTAATCACTGGACATTTTCCTTAATATAAGTTCCTCTAGTTTTTTGTTTTGTTTTAGTTTTTTAAGTGAATTAAACATTTATTACTTGATACACCAGAGCACAGATTTCAACAGCAAATGTGATCTTGCTTTTCCATGCTCAGGCAGATATTTGCTCTAAGAGAAGCCGTTGAGTGTAAATACCAAGGATACAGCAAATGTTCTTGATTCAAAATTCCTTTAAAGCCAGCAGCTGTCTGCTCCCTTATATCTAGTCTATGATTAAAGAAATGTTTTATTGAATGCTTGCCCCTGGCTCTCTTTCAGCAAGGTGAGAGACCTATTCCCTGTTCATGAGATGAAGCACATTGTTGTAGGAGTGGCTGGCTGTTCTATTCGGTGTCAGCTGGGCTGTGCCCAAGCCTTCCATGGCTCAAGCACAATTTCCTGCCTGCCAGTGCATCCATTTAGACATCTAACAACATGATCTCAAGGAAGTGCTGTGGCTCTCGTTTTTTGCCTGCACTTCAGCATAGATTTAATAATGAACTGCAGGCACCCTACTTGATACTCACATTTAATTGCACCTGAACTGTTAAAATGCAGCCTTTGATCAGAGGCAAGTTTCAAGCTCTTGCTTGTGGTTAAGGAGGATGTTACAGGAAGCATCAGGCTGCATTTGCAAAGAACCCATATACTTTAATTCATGGAGAATTTGTGGGTCAAGACACTGTGAGAATGAACTGAGATCCTGCCATTGGGACAAAGCTTTAGGAGTCCAGGACTCACATATTGTCAGGCCTTGATAGTCTTTGGCCTTGGGCAATTCTTTTAGTCTCTTTAGCTCCCCTAAAAAGACAATGTGACAACAGTTCACTTCCCTCACAGGCCTTAGTGGGAGCTGATTACTTAGTGTCCTTAAGATACTATGTAGATAAAAAATGCAAATGACAGCAAAGGCCAAATTCTCTCCTCATTAATCCTAGCCGATATTAAAGTGCATTGAGGTGGAGCCAGGGAAACCCGGAGGAAGACTTGGCTGTAGGCCTGAAGCACCATGACTGGTCTGTCTCTGCAGAGCTCACTGAGGAAGCTTCTTGAGGAAGCTATTCCAACCAGCTCTCTGGCCTCAGCTGGCACAGAAGCCCCATGCTTATTTTATTTTGTTGCTGCTTCTTTTTTAAAATTGGCTGCCAAGAACTCAGTACTCCTGTTTATGAAGCCAATGGGCTTTGGTTTGTGTTGATCTGTATGATCTGCAGGCAGAGCCATCTCCTCAGGTTCTGCAGTGCAGGAGGCATCACTTTGAGGCAGGCAGTGCAAAGGTGACTGGGAGCCACCTGCATCCAACCCAAACTCTGTGGATGAACAGGCACCAGTGTGCAGAAAGAAGCCCCAGAGAAGCCCTGTGAGGCTGGGGTCACCTGGACTGGCTGCTGCAGTCATCTCCTGTCCAATAGTCCACCCTATAAAAAGAGAAGCAGAAAGGCAGGTGTGATGGCCAGGGTCATCCCTTCAAGGGAAACAAAAATGGGAGACTCTCCATCAGCTGGGTGTGGAGGCTTGACTTTTGAGGCTGTCCTCTCTCTGTTTTGGGGACAGTGGCACTGGGTCAGGCAGGGTGAGGGATAAAATCCCCCTACCCCAGGCAGCTGGAGGATTCTGCAGGGACTCACCAGCAGCATGCATTCAGGCCCCACCTCTGCTCCTGGGGTATTTTGATTGTAGTGAAAAGCTCAAGAGACAGAGAGAGGAAAAGCTTGTTCTATGCTAAATTGACATTTGAATTGTGAAATGCTTCTAATAAATTGCATCTCAAGAAGAGGCTTCATCTAATCAGCATTTGGATGAGTCTGATACTGAATGACATGGTATCCTATAATACACCACATCTGAGATTATTATTATTATTACTACTAGTATTATTATTATTATCATTTTTATAATTATTATTATAATCTCAGAGTCTTGGGAATCCAATCAAGAAAATATACATAGTGGTTTTATCTGGCCTAGACTGTACTAAAAGAAGATAGATCTTACCGTCCCTTCTGCCTGTTTAGTGAAAAAGCAATGTCCTCTACCTTCTTTTGGTAAAAAGGGGAAAAAGAAAAACCAACCAAAAAACATGCATTCATGATGCTGGCTCACTCATACATCAGAAAATCAAGCGAGACGTCACTAAGGACCAAAAGCTGGCCACACATGCAGCTGTGAACTTACTAGTGGGGTAAAGGACTGTTTCCTCCTCCTTTCCCAACCCCACAGTCCCTGTCTGTCTGGTCCCTGCCTCATGCTGGGAATAAACACATTCCCAGACCCAATGAACACCATAGGGTTTATCAGCTGCCCCAACACTGGTGTGACGGTCCAGCTCATGGCCTTTTTCCACAGAAGCCTCAAAAAATAAAACACACATACAAGCAAAGGCATGGTACATATCATACTAAAACATGTCCAGGTTTAGGCACCTCCCTGAGTCATGGATGCACATGACTTTTGGGTTCCATGGTCCTGTCCTCTGCATGTGCCTCCTGAGCCATGTAGCTGCCTTTACACAAGTTATGCAACAGAGAAGGAGCAAAGCACGAGCAACAGCCAACAACAGTATCATTAGCTTATCAACCTTGATAAATGGAGGTGAACAGCTTTTTATGGCAGGCAAAGTATGTAATAGTGGCCATCTCAGGTTTTGTGGTGATAAATGGCATTTTCAATACCAACATTATGGTTTTCCAGGGGTAACCTCTGATACTGAGAATAAATATGCCTTTCTGCTTGTGGCAGGGAAGGGAGCCGGCAGAGCTGTGCCAGAAGGGCTGCCCATATGTCCCCATCTCTCCCGCCAGCCCTTCGCACACTGGTGATCAGGGTGATAGCAATAATTCACCTCTAGCCCAAGATCCAAGAGCCTGAAAGTCACAAGTAACATTGTCACCAACTTGTGCGCCTCACCAAGAGCAGTGGTGCCTCAGAGAAGGGAGGGGAGCAGTGGTGAGGTTGCATGGAGAAGGGTGGGGAGGGATGGCAGTGGAGAGGAGTGCTCACAGGGTGGTATCCATGGCAGTGCCCAGCCATGCTCAGCACACTGAGCCCATGGACTGCCAGCACCAGCACCACTCCAGGGAGAACCACCATCCCAACTGCATTGCTTCCTGTGAGGCCAGCCTATGGGAAAAATCCCCCAGGTAGGTCAGGGTTTTCTTTTTCTGGCGATTCTGAGAAGCTTCTCATTCAGGTAGACTGGGGTAAGGTACCATCTGTAGACACTCTGTGCTAGCAAAACACTTTGGTGATGCAGGGTTTCCCCACACTGGCTTTGGTTAAAGGCCTTTAAAGCTCTTGCACACTTCTGTTGCCCTAAGGGAGAACTATCACCTAAAAGTCTGGCGCTTTATACATCAAAGGATGTCAGGAGTAAAATTAAACTAGATGTTTTCATAAAAGAGTATCATCTTAAAATGCACTTTGGTGTTGTTGAGTGAAGAAGCTAGGATCTGAAGGGAAGCTTAAATAAAAGCTCCACTTAAAAAAAAAAAGATAAATAGAGAATATTTTTACCTTGGGACATTTGTTTTCCCTTTGAGACCCTTCATGAGCTATGGTGGTGTTCAGCTTCTGACTCATACACTTGTTCCCAGGAAATTAAACACCATATCCCTGATTTTTTCTTTACATGAACATAAGATGAGCCTGTAAATGTAAGCTGTCTCCACATTTCTTAGTGAGCATATTGCAGCTCCTACAATTATCTAAATAAAATGCACATAACTGTAAGCTAAATTGCCTCTTACACCATTAACTCTGGTTTTATCTGGCTGTTGTTAGGGACAACCACATGTCACTTATGGAAAGCCAGGGGTTTTGAGATGTAAGCACAGGGGATTCATTAGTTCCCGAGCATCTGATCTGACCCATCTTTAAATAACAGGCTGGCTTTTCAGAGGGACGATCCTCATCACTTCCTTAAATTGCTCAAGCCTCCTATAAGTGTCTTAGACTGAGCCCATTAATGCAGAACTACCCTGTGGCTATGTGCAATCATGGTATTTGTGTCCAGCTAAAGGACTAATTTTTTCAACTATCAGACCACCCACACCCACAAGAATAATCCAGAAAAAAACCAAAACAGGTTTGACTAAACAGGATGAAAGAGACACCAGTCAACTATCAGACCACCCACACCTGCATAACCAAAAGAATAATCCAGAAAAAAAACCAAAACAGGTTTGACTAAACAGGATGAAAGAGACACCAGAGGGACAAACCTGATCAACATACACATATTATACAAACAATAAATGCATACACAAATATACATTAAAGCAAAAATACCACAAATGCTCATGGTCCTTTCCTCCAACCAAAGAAACACTATAAAGGGAAATATTTTTAAATTTTAGAGACACCAGAGGGGCAAACCTGGTTCAACATACAAACAATAAATGTAAATATAAAATATACATTAAAGCAAATGTATATTTGTACACAAATATACATTAAAGCAAAAATACGACAAATGCTCATGATCCTTTCCTCCAACCAAAGAAACACTATAAAGGGAAATATTTTTAAATTTTCCTTTTTGTCCTAAGTCCTGGAAGCAAAACTGATGGGTAGAAAAGAAAAAAGAAGCCAAATTTCACTGAACAACCCCCAGATTGGAAGGAACCATGCAAAAAGATTGGCAAATACAAATATGTTGAATTCAACTTCTTTGTGTTTTCTTCATTTGCAGTA